TTTGGCTGGCTTGAGTTGTGGAGATCGAACCACAGCAACCTGAGCCTGACTGCTTTGTTGAAGCAGCCACTTAAAGAACTGAGCTAAGGGGCAGGCCCCCTCATTGAATCTTCTAATACTTAGTATTAGTTGAAATGCATGGAGAAGATCTGACCTTGCTTAGGTAGGTAATTAGAAAATTCACTACCTAATCACTTCAGGAGGTAATTAATAGCCTTTCAGATAATTGTGAATATTTTTATATTGAAACAGTCTAACATATTAATCTGCAATATCAAATGAGAGAACATATCAGTGAACTTTTGTACTTTAGTACATTATAACCAAGCAGTCTGTTTTTATTTTGAGTGATCTCTCATGCATGTGTGGTTCTGTTACACTATATATTGGCTGTTGGAAAATCTTGTGTCTCTGCAGATTTCTTAAATGATAGCACATTTGTTTTATTTTATTATTATTATTTTTGGGGAAGGATACCAGGAAACAAACTCAGCCTTGCACTTGCCAGGCAGGCACTGTGCCACTGAGCTACATCTATGGCTCAACATATTTCATTATATCAAAAAATCCTACTTGTTATTATCAACAGTAACCTCATCAGGTAGGCATTAGGTATCAAGAAGTTGTCAAATTCATGGCGGCATATAGAAAATACAGAATTCCAAAGGTTTGCTTGAAGTCCTGAAACGTATTCTTGGCAGGAAATGTTTCTAGTTGTTTTCCTTGTAGTGAAAGGCTCACTTTGCTCAGTTTCAAGAAATGAAGTACCCAGACCTGAATAATCACAGTTATTCCAAGAGTAGAGCTGCATTAACTGACCCAGGGTGTTACAGAAGGTAAGTGCAAGCTGAGACTCAAGATCACAACTCTTAAGTTCTTGTTTACTAGCCCATGTCTATATTATTTGGAACTTGCCAAAGCATGTTCTTAACAACAGTGTATTATGATGTTTTTTCCTAGAGAGCATGAATGGTTTAAACAAGATTTGCCCAATTACTTATTTCCTGAAGACCCCTCTTATGATGCTAACGTCATTGATGATGAGGCTGTGAAAGAAGTGTGTGAAAAATTTGAGTGTACAGAATCAGAAGTAATGAACAGTTTATATAGTGGTGACCCTCAAGACCAGCTTGCAGTCGCTTATCATCTTATCATTGACAATCGGAGAATAATGAACCAAGCCAGTGAGTTCTACCTCGCCTCTAGTCCTCCAACTGGTTCTTTTATGGATGATAGTGCCATGCATATTCCTCCAGGCCTGAAGCCTCATCCAGAAAGGATGCCACCCCTTGTAGCAGACAGCCCCAAAGCAAGATGTCCACTGGACGCACTGAATACAACGAAGCCCAAATCATTAGCTGTGAAGAAAGCCAAGTGGCATCTTGGAATTCGAAGCCAGAGCAAACCATATGACATCATGGCTGAAGTTTACCGTGCTATGAAGCAACTGGATTTTGAATGGAAGGTAGGAGAATATGTTGTGTTAAGGTCATTTAGAGAAGCCATTTTCTTTTTTCTTTATGTATTTAGTGCAGGGCGTATAGGGTCTCACTACGTAGATCGGACTCGTACTGATCCTCCTGTTTTCAGCCTCCCAAGCACTGGGATTACAGGCACGCGCCACCACACTCAGTCTCAGTTGCCATCTCAGTGCTGGGGAGAGAAGGGGGCTGGCATAGCATGTGGTGCCAGGGATCGAACCCAGGTCCCTGTGCTCTATCTAAGTAAGTGCTTTAGTCTGCTGAGCTATCTGACCAGCCCTGCCATTTTCTTATAAGCCTTCTGAGCCACTGAGCTGCATATAAATATCATTAAAATGTTATTTTTTGATTTTAACATAAATTGAGTGGACTTAGTACTTTTGGCTGGAACTCTTCTTTCTAGCAATTAACATATGCCTTCAAAACAAAAAATATATATACCTCTATAAGGATAAACAGCTATTGATGTTGGAACTGCATATTTTGAATTATTGAATAGTGGTGTTGGCCAAGAAACAGAAGGTAACCAACTTGAAGTTACATGAGGAAGTACTGTGCCTGTTTCAGTTTGCTTTGTAACAAGAGTCCTGAGTCCTCAGAGATAGCAGATTTTTACTTTTTCTCTGGTTATAGGAATTTAATTAATTTTTCTTCATTGGAGGTCGGAGGCTGCGACAGCTAGGGGTTAATTAAGTTATATTGTCAGGACACATTGTTTTAGTCAACAAATACTTTTCTCCAAGTTGAGAAATTCACTTATCTGGTGCTTTTAACCCTCAGTTATGGTATGTTTTACTTAATATCAGCCAGTTTTACTTTCTTTTAAAGTTAATGGTTAATTCCATTGCAGTTCTGCCAGAATATATGTGGAAGGAAAAATGCCCTTTTATTTTAGATACGCTTCTCAGTTTTTTATTTTCTTGACTGAAAATTCATCTAAAGGAAGTAGAAAAACATCCAAACTTGCTATATAAATATTTATTTAGTGTGTTTAATAAATTGCTTTCATTATTTGTACATGAACAAATGAAAGTATTTCCTTAAAACTAAAGCACAGCCCTGCCTTTCTTGAACCAGCTTTGTGTAGTTAAAAAAGAGATATTTATTTCTTTAAAATTTCTTGCTGAAAATTTTTTGGAACTTTGATAAATATTTTAAAAGCCCTAAATATTCTTTACCTGATACAGAGTCTTATTTTTAAGACACATAGTAGCTGAGCATGGTGGCTCATGCTGTAATCCCATTACTCTGGGAGGCTGAGGCAGTAGAATCAAAAGTTTGATCGCAGCCTGATAACTAAGAAATTTAGAAGAATTCTCAAAATTAAAAATACAAAGGGCTAGAGCATAACTCAGTGCAGAGGCCCTGGGTTCAAGGGCTGGGGGGTGGGGCAGGGAGAGCACCAGTCCTTTCCTCCCAGGATCACTGTGGTATCTGAGTTGTGTGACAACCTCAGGTAAGCCTTCTAGTGTTAGCTCCTCCTTACTCCTGCTGCTCCCCCCTCATCAGTAAAGTGTAAAGAAAAGGCAGGGCAGTCAAGATTCTTCTTGAGGCTTTAGGTGAGTACATACTAGAGTGAAGATTCCACTATATGTGCCTGAGTTCTCTTTTAAGTTGTAGTTGCTATTCACAAATGGTGCTGCTAGCGGGACTAATTAAATATTAAAGTAAGCCACTTGCAGTAGGTACAAAAGGAATCAGTGAAATATTCCTTCCACACTCCAGCCCTATCAATTATTTATCTTTTGACATTCTTTGCCATACAAAGGAAGACATTTTTTAAATTTGTTATTTTTCCTGATTTTTTGATTTAGGTCGTGAATGCCTATCATCTTCGTGTAAGAAGAAAAAATCCAGTGACTGGCAATTACGTGAAAATGAGCTTACAACTTTACCTCGTTGACAATAGGAGCTATCTTTTGGATTTTAAAAGCATTGATGGTAAGGAAGTTATGCAGCCATAAGCTCTGAGAAGATGAAGGTAAAATCACCTCAGACACTGTGGGTGGGTCTTCTACACTGGTTATTGCGTGGTCTAAATTTAAACTGTAAGTGAAATGATTGCAACTTTTGTTTGATGTGTGGGAGAAAGCAAGTTGCTGGGATGTGCTTTTTCCACATAGAGGGAGAGCATTCACTTCACTGTTAATGCCACAGACTCTGTAGAGCCTTTAGGGGCCACATCTGACTGTGTGGGAATATTGCTAGCGACTAGTAATGCCTTCTAAAAGTGCCAGAAGGCAGGGTTGTTGACCCCACTGCTCCTGAAACATGGTAGTATGATGTTCATGGCTCAGTGGTCCTTGCTCAGATGTTTTTACTTAACGTCCCAATGGTGGCAGCTTCTGAGGAAGGATTTGGGAGATACATCATTCACCTAAATTGCTCTTTTTTGGTCCATTTCAGATGAGGTGGTGGAGCAGAGGTCTGGTTCCTCGACACCTCAGCGTTCCTGTTCTGCTGCAGGTTTACACAGACCACGATCAAGCTTTGATTCAGTGACCGCAGAGAGCCACTCACTGTCTGGCTCCCTCACTGGCTCCTTGACTGGAAGCATGGTGTCCTCAGCATCACCTCGCCTGGGTAGTCACACCATGGATTTTTTTGAGATGTGTGCCAGTCTCATCACCACTTTAGCCCGTTGATGACCTGTCCCTCGTTTCTATCGTTCTGTTACTGCACTGTGAAAATAAGATATATTCTTTAAATTATTACCTTCCGAATAGCACACACACTGCAATATATTTTTTTGGGAGGACCGGGAATAGAACTCAGGACCTCACGCTTGCCAGGCAGGTGCTGTGCTGCTGAGCTATATACCCAGCCCCATCCTCTGCAATATTGAGAGAGGTGAATATCACCAGGGGAAATAGAATACCATTGAAACTACTGAAAAAAAGCCTGACATTTAATTTAGAATTTCATTTTGCTGTGCCTCTCATAAGCTCGCGTAGGCAGTGTTTTTAATGGGTGGGCATTGATGAAGATTGTGGGCTTTTAACAGTTGTGGATTCATTACAGGTGATGAGCCCACCTCACTGTTGACTCAGCCAATCTAGCACTTCCTTGTTCCACCATTAGTGTAGGTAGACCCGACTCACCTCCTAAATTTCAGCAGGTTTTAAGCTGTGCTTTTGCTTTCAGTTTTGTGGCACAAGATGAACAAAGTAGTCATTAGTAAAGTGTTATTTAAATGGTGAAATTTTAAACTCCCTCCAAAGTTTAGAAATTCAGTTCTTCTAGCAGTGCTTGAAATACTGCCTACTGTTCATCAGAAGGGTTGTGGTCCTGAAACAGGTACCCATGATTTCCTTAGAAACAGTTTTATCTTGAGATTTTCCAGAATAATGTTGTTTCTCTAAAGAGCCTTAAAGGTTCTAGTTAGTATTGGAACATCTGGAATTACAACATTTTCTATCTTTTCTGTAAGCTTACACAATTTAAAAACTATTTTAAAGATCTTTATCAAACTCTTTTTGTGACTTTTTATTTTTGCACATTACCAGGAATGTAAAAGACAGTTAAATGAAACAACTAGAGAGGTCACCATTCCCCTAGAAGGGTACTCTGTCTTTGCTCTTATGTAGTGTGTAAGGGAGGATGCAAAGTCCAAGCTGGGTTGTGTCCCACAGTGCTGCTAATTCTTCATTTGAAATTTAGCTTCCACAGCCCGTTCCTTCCCCACCTTCTGGCGACTTTGTCCTTGGGCCTTCAGGGGCTTCTCACCTTAACCTTTGATTCCTTTTTGGTTTCCTTTCTTGGTTGCTAGCCACTTGGTTTGAAAACATGGTTCTGCCCTAAGGGCTCTTATGCTTCCAAAGCTTGATAGCCTGTCACCTTCACTCTAGACCCTGCTGGAGTGGGGACGCCTTAAGAATTTAAAAATTTTCTTGAATAAATATGTGTTGTTAATATATAATGTATGTGTACATACAACAATGCTTTTAATCCAGAACCACATTTTTTTGCTTTGATAAAATCAAAAACATCCAAAGTATATATAGCAGGGTAGGTAATACCTGATTGATTATATTTTGTTTTGTAAAAGTATTTAATTTTAAAATTATATGTAATTTATCCAATTTGTATTTATTCATTTATTGTATTTATGTTGTAATTTACATTCTCATTCACCACACTTCCCCTATAAAATATTAAGCTCTTGAAAACAAAAAGAATGACATTGCCTTGACAGGTTTCTCTTTGCCAAAAATAATATATTTCCTACAAAGAAACAAATGAGAAACTTAAGAACATTTTTCTTTTATTTATGAAAGATAAGTATGTCTATCTTTAAAGATCATTTAAGTCGGGAGTTTGCATTGCAGATTCTTTAAAATATCACATGCAGTATTCGCAGCCCAACTTACTAGCAAAGTAAAAAATGTTTTCATAAATTCAGTGGAGGCTGTACTCTGAGGTGACTGTTTAAGGCTTAGCCTTTGAAAGATCGCCATCTTGTGGCCGAGAGAGTAGTTTTGCTTAGGGTTTAATTTGGTGGGCCAGTAGTCCTGCTGTGGAGTAAGCTGTGCATTGCATGGATAGCCTGATCTTGGCTTCTCCAAAGTGAGTGTGTCTTTTGGGAAACACAAGACCGTTTCATAACACTTGCCTAGCTGAGTGGGACACCTTTAGAAACTAGGAACTCATCAAGCTCTTTGCAGTGACGAACCCAAAGCAACTTTGTAGGCAGAGAAACAGTGGAAGTGGAAAACACTTTAGCTTTTTTTTTAAACTGGGACTCAAACTCAGGACCTTGAGCTTGCCAGGCAGGCACTGTGCTGCTGAGCTCTATCCCTGACCCTGTTTTATCTTTGTTGGTCTAGTAAATCAGATATTGGAATTTTAAAAAAGATATTAGAATGTGTTTTGAGAGTTAAGAAATGTATTTGCTATTTTCTTATTCTTACCGGTATTTTAGAACACCCCCACACAATGATAATTATTTGTTGAATTTGAGGTAATAAAGTACAATTTGTTATTTGTTTAACAAATAGTTTGGGTTTTTTTCTGGGTAACTTTTTAAAATATTTCTGTGAATCTAGGTGGCATAAGTTGTTTTGAAGAAATTTCAAGAGACTCAGTCTAGCATAGTAAGACTAGAATATTGTCACAGGCAGGCTTTCTGTTCCTCGTGGGCACAGAGCAGGAAAGAATATGTGCTAATCCCCAGTGCTGTAGTTTAGTCTTGTGACTGGCTAACTGCGTGTGGTGCAGAGGTCTGGGCTAAGAGGAATGTCTGCCAGCATTTCCCTAATAAACAAATTTCATCAGTATATTTGGAAAATATCCTGCTTTCCTGCTTAGAATTACAGTGAGAGGAGTATTGAAGACTGACAAATCCCTTCATGTATAAAAGAAAACCATAATCCACAATTTTAAAACACACAAGAAAAAGTTTGGAAAATGCTTTTGTAGGAAAGTTATTATATCAGGTTATTGAATGAAATTCAGGCAGTGCTGCTTTTTTCCCTTACCGCTTTTTGGGGAGAACCTGGCTCAGATTCAGCAGCTTCTGTGTTAGCTTGTAAACATGTAGCCTGAATGTCAGGTGGAGAGTTTTCTCTGAAACTTGTTTTGTAAAACACTGTTTTTGCCAACTAGGTTGTAGTATTGTTTGGGAGCAGGATTATTTCTTGTATTAATTGGTGACTGAAAACTTTAACAGGATTACTTGTGAAGAAGACACTAAGACAAACCATGAGCCAGTGTGATTGATTTTTTTCAAAATGTGGTCTTTGAATGTCTAAACACTTTTGTTCAGAATGCTGTATTTAAACCTGATTCTTGTCTTTCAGTTTAGGAAAAGAAGCTGTCTCAACTGCGCAGGGAGAGGCAGGGAGGTGAACCATTTACAAGTTGTTTGTTGTGATCAACAGAACTTTTAAGTGACATTTTTGTAAACTCAAGTGTTTGCCATGATACTAGCCACAGTAAAGAGAATCCTGGATCCTTAGAAGTAAGTTTTTCTGTGTGGGAGCTGGTGATTTGTAGCACTGATAGCTCTCTATTTCCTGTAAATACTTTGATACAAACTCCTTCTCTTATTCTGTAGCTAATTTGTACTTAGGAAATAGAAATTCATTTTTAGAATTGAGACATAATTTAGAAAATGAATAGTCATCACAAATGTGGGGACTACTTCATCTGTAACATCTACTAATATGTAGTACACTGAGTTAACGTAGGCTTTTACACCTCTTTTTAATTTATAAAAGCCTGGGTCATGCCTACCAAAGATACTGATCTTTGTCTATTCACTGGCTAATAATATATTTCCCAATAATACTAAGATCTTAGTATCTAAATGCTAGGTATGTTTGTAGTTTTGTCTAAATGCCCAAATCTATCTTCTTCTTTTACCTTGCCCTCACCACCCCATAGCTTTTTTAAGTGGGAAGTGTGACTCGAATCATTGTAAGCCTCTGTGACTGACTCTGTCCGAGGAGCATGTGCAATCTGCTGATAAGTCGTAGCCTGTGCTGGGCTTCATTTCTGTGACCCTGGAATGGGAGGGACAGGGGAAAAGACCGCTGAGGTACCTCTGAGCTTTAAAATTTCTGCCTTTTCTACTTTTGCATGTGGTTGGTGTTAATGTTCACTTTATATGTACTTAGGGTTTTTATACTAGTGTGAATGTTCTGTTTTGGTTCAGTGAGGCATTTTGATGATGTATACTTGAATATTTTTCTAAATACAGCTTCCCTCTGGAATACAAATGGCAAAATTTATCCAGAAACCAGACATGTTAAAACGTCATGATGGTTTGGTGGAAGGCAAAAGATAATTAATCACAGTCCTGGCAGTGTAGCACACGTTTCTGTACTAATATTTAAATTTAGAGACCCACCTTATCTATTAATTTACATTATAGTAACTTGGAGATAGCCAGTAAACTACATTTTGCCAGCACCACAAAAGCTCTTTATAAAGCCTAATGCCGTACAGTTTGGCCCTGGCAGCTGCTGGCTGCTCTTCAGAGGGCAGCACCTTTCCTGCAGGGCAGAGCAGGCTCAAGTCGTGGACACAGGCGGCTTGCTTTTAGTGAGACATAATGTAGTCTTAACTGACTATTTTGTAGTCTAATTATATGAACCAGTTGATTGTAATAAGTAGATGTAATTATCCGAAGTATTTATGGTGAGCATGTTTTTTTATAATTGCATTTAAGTTATTGAGGGTGCTTAAAAACACTAAAGAAACTTTAGGATGTAATTCTTCCTGTAATTTTATTTATATGTTTCTTACAGCACAGTGTCTTAGAGAAACACTAGCCTCAGACCTTATCTAAATTATCATAGTTTTTGACTGTTACCTGAGAATTAGGCCTATCTAAATTTCATATACAGGTTGATAATTTTTTTGTATGCATATTAGATAATACAACACTTTTCATAGTTTATTTCTCTTTTTGAAATACCTAATTATTGACTTGATAAGGATTCTCACAAACCTTAAAACTTTGAAATGGAATGAAAGTGTAATGAGCTTTGAAGTTTCTATAAATCTATAACAAGTTGTGGGCACCCTAATTGGCCTTTCTCAAGTGGAGTTATGGTGCATTTGATGCCACTGAATAGTAGTAGCATGAAAGACAGGACCCATCATCTGGATAGTAGGTTTTAATTAGACTTGTGCAGCTATGACCTGGTAAGAATCAGGAGAGGTCTCAAGGTTCTCAAACTGTGGGCCTCTGAATTTTGGGAGCCAGTGTTAACGTTTACTGCCATCCGTGCAGACAGTGCCAGTGTGCAGCCTTGACCTCTGGTCATGGTGGTTTATATTGCAAGCGTTTAGATGCCATGGACATAGCTCATGATTATCTGGGCAAATAGGCTAAGTAAATTTCCGTCATTAAAGTGCAATTAAGGAACGCATACTGTAGAAAACTAGAAAAAAGCTAAGTATTTGTAGAATTTTCTGGGATGAAAACATTTTGAGTATACAGAGTTTTGACAAAATTTATACAGTGTAATTTTTAAATTCAAAATTTACTGTATTTAAATTTTTGAGGAACACAATTCTAAGCAAGGAGAATTGCATAATTGTTTTTGTTTTTCTGCTAAACATACATTTGTCAGTTAAAAGGTCCTTTTAAGTTTTTTTTTTAACTGATAAGTCATTTTTCTAGAAAGGTAGCATTTTCTTAAAAATAGAAAATAAAAATAGATCTGCTGTTCTCAAAACAACCCCACTAAATTGTGCCTTCTCTCAATTATAGGAATAATAGTAAAAAGTTATTTGAACTTCCCCTCTCTGTTCCTTCTCATTTTTCCTTAGATTTTTCTCTTTACAACTAATCATGTTGTTTCTACCTGTTTGGTTTCAAATTACTTCGGCCAAACCTCACTGTCACAGCTGAAAGTTGTTCACTAAATACATTTTCTATTTCTTGTATGTTTCACGTAAGTCACCTTGGTCAATATTTGGCTGCCTTTTCATGCTTTTAAAAGGAATACAGTGCATAGTAATCTCTGTCTATTAAAGGGTTGGAAAGGAAAGAATGCAGAGCTAAGGCCAGATCTCACTGGAGTCTGGTTGCTCTGCCTGCTGTAGCAGTGCAATCATAGCACCTCATTCAGTTTTCTCTTGTACAAATGTGGATAATAACCTACCTCACAGGTATGTGTGAGACGTGGAGGCTCCTTGTTGAATTGCAAGGTGTGTAGCCCCTATTTAATGTGTATCCTTTTTAAATAGGTATCTTTGGTACTAATAGGATGAGTATCTTGATTTTTAGATGTGCTTCATGTGGTAAGAAAACAGTGCTAAGAATGTTTAAGACCAGTTTCACAAGTTGTGGTAGTTGTTTTTTTAAGTACTTAAAATTTCTTGAGAACATCAGCTATTCAACTAACTTGTCTTTTGTTTTACCAAAAAATTCAAAACTGTTTAAAATGTTGGCTAAAGTTGCCTTAATGTAACAGACTAGTCAAGACTGTTCTCAAGCATCTGTGGTTGTACACTGTTTTGAGTGTTTCGGTGTGAAGTTGTTATAGACCCATAGACTCACTGATAGTGTCTTGCCACTGCTTAGGAGGAATGGTTATGTTCTTTATCATGTGTGCTCAAATGCTGTGTAGTGGATTTTGAGTGTGACAAATAAAACTGAAAGTTGACTATAACTAATAGGTTACGTCTGTGACAATCTTAAGTTGTGATTGGATGGCAGTTACTCAGTTTTTCCTCCAAGATCATACATTCACACTATTTTGGTCCATTTCTGAAAAAGCCCAAAACCATAGGTTGATACATTATCCCATCAGAGCACTGGACTTTATTTTAAAA